TTAAATCCGACGTCATTAACGAGGCTATCCGAAAACCGAGGTTTGTCAGAGCAATGATGACACGGCACTAACATACCCAGTATGACAGCACACCCGCAGCAGTTTCCTTACTACTCTTTACCTTATTCTCCCGCTTACTTGTTCATTTGTCTGCAAATGCGAACATACTCCCCTGGCCGCCTCCAGGACGCGTTAAATCCAATCTGCTAAAACTTTCGCTCAGATTCAACCACTTGGATGAGATCTGCGCTCTCCACAAGGTCAAACATTTCCGTACACTTTGCACCCCGGCTTGTGCGGTGTCAACTATTCACTCTTCCAAGGAGCTTTTCACACGAATGCACTATAACAGTGATGCAACTGGGCCCTAATAGTTTCAGCGTACACCATGATTCTGAGATTCCTGCTACTCCTTATCCGTATCGCTAATTTTTTCATTTCATCATACTCAATTGAGCTTTTTGTGGCCCTGGCTATAAGCTTGCAGTCCAAGTCCACGAGGCTTCAGGGTTGGTTTTGAATTTAAATGGTATGATTGACCGGTTGTAATACGCAAACCCTGATGCATCACCAGATCCATTGTTCGGGTTCCTCATTTTTCGCAGTATGCTGTTTTTGTATCGTTTGAGACGGGATGCCTCTTGTTTTACCCCCTCTGGTCTTGTTTTTGCCCGCCACGAATGACAGTAGCCGAGTTGATTCACTGGAGACTGAAAACATTCTGAGAAACTTTTCAGAAAAACGCGGCTTTCATCCATAAGGATTCCATTGGTTTTTCCCGTATATAAAGAGCAACTGGAATATCTTGCACAATAAAATTTGTTGTAGCTTGTGTTCTACAAGCAGGCCATCTGCGCCAGAAAGCAATGTGGCACTATTTGCTGTTTCATCCTTTCATGTAACTCTATTATTGTGCAACCTTCCAGGGCGAGAGTCTAAACATTATGCGTTATGATATGACAAGAATGTTATGAATTCTCCGCACAACTCTTAGTCACCTCCATTTAAACACACTGAAGCGCGTTCTTTTTTCTAGAACAAATCCACCCTGCTGGAGAGCAAGCCAACATATATTTGATAAAAGGCGCCTAGTACGAGGTTACAGCATGTAAAATGAAGGAAGTACGAGGTTACAGCATGTATAAATGGAGGACAATAGGATTGTATAACAATGAAAAAATGCCCAAAAGACGGGGCATTTTTCTGGAGAATCCTTCAGTGAACAACTAATCTTCGCTACTGTAAAATACGAACAATGTGAACAGAACAAATAACTTTGAATGCCAAGCTCTCTATGAGTAACTTGAAGATCCACTGTATTCCTGAAAATAGATCGGAAACCCTGAAAACTCTGAGCAGTAACTGCACTGGCGGTATGTAAAAATGCCCAGAGCACTGAGCACAAGCTGAAAGATATAAATTTGATGATCGGAGCTCGACATTCTGGCTTAATGTTCAGAATCTAGACACGACATCCTCCACGAGATCCTGCCAACAATCTTATTCCCCGAAGCCCCCCAAAGTTGTTTGTCACCAGGCGATAAGTCGTTCCTTGAACTGAAACTTTGAGGTCTGATTCTAGCCGCATTAGTGTTACATTAAAGAAATAGGGGACCCGATCACTTTTAAGTATGTGCAGGGGCAAGCATTCATTTGAATTAGGATGTCAAAATTCATGTGGTGTTAAAGAAAAGGTGAGAATATTCTGTTTCGGGGATTTTAGCCCGCAGAAACTTAATCACAATCTACTCTCACTGAATCTGACCGCACGTTTGTTTCTTATCGGGTGACTTCAGGAATTCAAATGTTCCAGAGCAGATATGCATTGACAGGCATGTGTCCTCATGTCAGTCGCACAAGTATCGGAATCCTGTTCTGTATTGTGACTTCCTCACGGCCCAGACGTCAGAAACTTGGTATGAAATACATGGGCGGCTCAAGAAAATTTAAGAAAACTTTCTGATGAATGGATGTACCCAAAATCGGACTCTACCTCAAATCCTGGCAAAAGCTTCCTTCTTGCTGAAGCTGACCTTCACTCGCCGTGGAAGGAACGTTTCGTCCAGACGCCCCTTTTTTGATCATACTTCCAGCGGGATGCCTCCCACTAGTTGGGAAATATACCTGTTATTACTATGTTCCATTGCATGAAAAGTGTAGTAATTGAGGTCGTGCACCACCTCGGGTAGATCATACTTATTGCAAAAATGTTTTACGACACTTGGGCAGCAGACCATACAAAAAGCCTCCATTTTCTTTAGTGTGTTGACAAAAAACTTAAATTACATTTCAGTTGAACATTGAAAAGACCTTTAAATACTCGGCTGTCTGATTATGGGATTTCAGCGGTTCCCTTAATTTTCACAAAAGTGGTACTCCACGAAAAACAGTGGCAACCATTTTTCACAGTACCCAACTTTTCAAGAATGGCCGATACCTCTAAGGCTTCTCCATGTCTTCACAGGTGTTCGCGTTCGCAAATCTTATCTTATGCGGTACATGAAAGCCGACTAAAGGATACCGTCGCCTGAGTAGTTGTAGAGGCTGCACGAGTAAATGGCCGCCTCATCCTTGGATAAAGCAGGTGGAACACGTTGGAAATCAGAACTAAGACTCGTTAAGGGCGATCGTTTATTTGGAGCTGACGACCAACAGTGAGTTGGTTTCTAATGACGCTCGTGAATACAAACGAAGAGCGAAACGACGACCGCTATGGGGCTGTCCATAAACCAAAGTGTGCCAGCGCAATAATGGCATGGCACTGCCACCCAGCATGATGGCATTTCCGCAACTATTTTCTTCATAGTCTTGTCCATCAAAGCCTGTAGTTGCAAATATAGACAAATTATTCACCTGGCCCTTATCGCTTCTGGGACGAGTTCATTTTGACTCGATGAACCTTTCCATCGGGTTTGACCAACCTGGTTTTCCGCTGCCAATTTTGTTGGCCTCTTCCACAAGCTGAGTTCCATATACGGCGTTCTTTGGACCCTATGCATTAACGCCATATCCCCGTCAAAATATCCCTTGCATTGGCTACTCTACAACAGTGGCACCAGCGTAGTGACCCAGTCACCCATATACTTGTCTGTTCAACTCACAGTCGCTCACTGGATCGCGAGGCTTGTCTACTTTCCCATACGCACAAACACGTCGCATTAATCTGACACATCGGTCATCGATTGTCTGCACCGCCTAGTCAGCGTAGCAGCCACTCATGTGCCGACGCGCCCATATACACGCACTGGGACCTACATAAAGGCAAACCGAACCCAGTCAAGACACACAGACTTGCGCGCGCGCAGGGAGCAGGACGCCAACCTCTCCACAAGTCCACGGAAAATCATGGAACACGTGTAGCAACCAAACTGCGGAGAAAACACGTTACCGCCGTCCGGACTTTCACCAAAGAACTCTCACATACGATAAGTTCTATTTGACTTGCTCGTATTTCGCATTGTGTTCATTTTTATACGTGTCGCAGCCATGTTAAAAACTTCTATCAGTGCACATTCACCTTCTGATTTGTATTATGGCTACCACCACCTGTGCACTAATACCAGTCAGTCTACTTAGTTTCAGGTTTAATCATATTTTCGGGAAAAACTTTACATTTGCTTCTATTTTCAAGTGTTCCATCCTTATCACCATTTTTGCTTGTTGTGACTATGTCCATTTACATGACCCCCCAAGGTCACTCATGGCCAGCAATGCTTCTCAATCTTAATTCACGTCAGCCGCTTCATCTTTGAACTAGTAGAACCCCACGTCCATTGTCTTGGTTTTTTTCCGTTTCCGCAATTGCGACAACTTATCTCGTAATAAGCAGGCTTTGTTGGTTAAACCTTCCTCCCCGTTGTGTTGTTGCATGCTGTGTTCAGGTGGCAGCGACCTGATCAGTCCTCCATCGGCACGTCCCTACAAGTTCGGAAATGAACATATCATTATCACGATTTCATCGGATGTTGTCTACAAATTATGACATTGTCCACTTTTCCGCGCACACTTTAGTACCGACAACCCTCCCAGTCATGTTTCGTTCTGACGATTAAAGTAGGGTCATGCTTGACCGTGTGCCACCCAGCAGTTGGGAATAAACATTATTGTTAGCGTGGGGGCTCCGATTAATAAATAAACAATTAGCTAAGGATCGAAAAAACTGATCCATCGCAGCAATAAGCACAATTCGGTTTGGCCAAAAACTCATTCACCATCTTCCTCACTTTAACCTGTAGCCACAGTTTTCCAATTTATTCTCATTCCTACTGTGTGCAGAAGAGAGAGTCGAAGCACGTGACCACGCTTGTATTCTGGGAAATTGTACAAGAGCGCGTTTTTTTGTAGTTTCTCGTATTCAAACAAAAAACGATTATGCAATTGATGAAATACCTAGTGTTATAATGGAAGTAGAATAACGGTACAAAACGCCACAACTTCCACAAATGCAGGCATGGCGCTCTTCGCCCGCCAGCACTTAGCTGAAAAACCCTTGCCAATTTAATGAAAAGTTTACGCCAAAATATCGCGTTTTGCTGCGTATACCCTCGCACCAAAATCATTCCAACTTACGGGTCATTCTCACGGATCGCCAAATTTTTCTCTTAATTGAAGCAATAATTCCCCGATTGGAAAATTCTGGTGGAATAATGTCCTGGCAACACTGGGACACCGGGATGGGGCTCAAACGTTTGTAATGACATTTAGAACCCAATTTCCTGTCTGATTTAATCCATCATTCATTGACCATGCTATGCTTCAGCGGATCAGGAACACGTCGTAGCTTTCGAAAAGCTAATTGCATTGTGCGAATACTGAGTGCCAATACTATGCGCTCACAGACACATTTTTGAAAGAACCGCGTTCGAAGCGCTTCTCGTTGTCACACCTAACAAGAAGCATAAATCTTTAATTTCCAATCCTCATCAATATAAAGTTCCATTCCTAGATTTGTTTAGGCCCCTTCTTTTTTGTTCGTATAAGTTAACAGGATGAACTGTAAGCACCGATCTGATTCGGTGAAACTTTTGATTCCCTTGACGTCGGGATGTTGTCTGACGCCGATAAGCGGCGCCAAATCAGTGTTCGGGGGGTCGCACAGGTTGAAAACGTTGCAAACTTGAAAGCTTCTTTCAACAGACATCTCCATTTTGATGTCGTTAAGGACAGAAATATTGCGACGCCGCGTGATTTCTACCATGCACTTGCACGTACCGTCTGGGACCATCTTTGCTCTCGGTGGATCCGAACCCAGCAGTTCTATCACAGAGAAGATCCAAAAGTGAGTTGAAAGCTGTATTCATACAGGTTATCTTTATCCTTGGAGACCGCTCACTCCCGACCCTGTATGTTCCCCGTTAACATGCGTTTTGATGACATTATACTTTGTCCTCACCAGTTTAGTTATATTTCTTCATTCCACCGTCACTGAGTTTTACTCGTGTGTGAAGTTGAGGTTCCACAACAACCAACGAAACATTTATCAGCGCACAGACTTACTGCACCATGTGGGCTATTTTAAAACACCTCAACCGGAATACGCAGCCTCATAGTACCCTCTTTGCACCATTTTTGACATCTGTCCATCACTACAAGCAACAATGATATTTCTGTTCTAGGCGAAATTTTTTTGCTGTGAAAAAGATCCGTAAGAACTACAAAACTTCCTAGTCGAGAATTGCAGCGACGTTCTGGGAGGCGCTTGTAGTACCGGTGGAACGTTTGTCCGACTATATAGACATACTTTTAACAACAGTACCTACAGTAATAAACTCATGCGTTGTAGGCCTGACAAAATTGCATATTTGGCGATGGTTTTTTTTTACCAATCTGGAATAAGCTGGGCCGTTGCTCTACGAGCTAAACCTTCCATTTGGTGGATGGTTGTAGTGCGTGCACACACACGCTTCTAGTGCAGTTTGTGCTATTAAGTCACCCGCGTGTTCGTCCTGAGCTTTCAACAAAGGACTAAATTTGGCACGACTAACAACAAACTGGCGCGGTGCTCACGAAAAAAGTCGCAACGGGTCCAAAACATCCCTGCACACCTGCAGTTCATATGCCAAGTGGAGTAACGGGACCTGTGTGCATCTTAAGTGTGTGGAACTCACTCGCCTTCCCATGCGCTACGATTGTTACTCCCCGGCGTTCATGGCGGAAATGCAACATGTGTGTATTCCACTTTTTGGACTTCCTAGTCCAATAGGATCCAAATTTCTGCTGACAGCCGTGCTTATTGTCCTGGACGAAACGTAATCTGTAGAGTATTCATTCATGAATGGCGACAAACTCCTAGGTTAAGCACCCTTTTCTGTCCATTCTCGGCGTCACTTCACCAAAAAAGCAAAGAAGATTATAGCGGGTCGGTTGTCCGCGCTCGAACTCGTGCAGTTGAACCGTGATTAAGTTGTGGATATTCAGGCATCTTTAGCACTATTGACGTTAGACTGACATACCTATGGGTTGAAGCTATTCATCGGTCTTCGTTCGTCCTTATTGTCATCGCTGCACTTTTCTAGTTCTTCTATAGCTACCCTTCATTGAGATATATGTCAAACGGCGCTATCGGGGGAGCTGCAAATATATGTTTTGGTGGGCGAATACTGCCAGGGCTTGACCAAATCTCCAAACAAACACCGGTCGTGGTAAAAAGTCGTCCATGACATATAAAGCCTATCTAGTTATCTGTACTTTGCTCCGATATATATACCGTTTTGGAGCACTGAAACTTGGCATCCTCTCCCTCGTAATCTGCACTCCACAGACCATCTTGGGGGTCTTCATCATCATTATCAGCTGTAATAACCGTGTACTTGTCGTACAGTGACGGCTTTGCACACATTGTGCACCTTAAGAGTCGATCTAGTGTTTCTGGTCAATCTAGTCCTACACATTTTGTGACGGTTTAACTGAATCCCACTCGCCATTTGATGTGCAGCCTTTCATTTCAACACCCAATGATTCCTATCTTGGATGTTGTCTACGCTTGTCGCTCCTTGTGGTTGGCTTTTCGACCGCAGCCTCACCATATGGTGGGAGTCCTTCCGATTTGCGTTTCTTGGCGGGGTGACCTTGTATGTCGTCTTCAAGGGCTTCAGCTCCGTTTATCTTGATTGTTCTCCTAGATTTGGAGCGCATGTCGTTTGACCCCGCTTGATAATTTTTGCACAATGTGAGCATCGCTTTATATAGTTGAGCAAATTATATCCGACACTAATCAGGTGCTTCCGCCCTAGTCGTGTGCATTTTCAGCCGAAGTACTGTGTGATCATTCTTTCAAGTGGCGCTTGTATGCATGTCACCGATGTACTAGGTGATAGCCAATTCCAATAATGAGGCACTCTGCTCCTCTTGCTAAAATAAGACTTGATTGTGAATCAGCTGGAGTAATGCAACCGTGGATTTACTTTGCGAGACAAATTTTCATTAGTTAACATCATCATCATTAACGGCATAACATCAGTGTTCAAAATAAATGTTTCGCTGCGGTACAATCAACCAGCTTGCAGTTTGTTGCCATTCCCTCCTTTCTCGTTCCCATACGTTCTCCTCCCCCCATCCGATTAATATTGCTCTCCGCAAAGGCCTATTCGTTAGGATTGACGGCTTCATACGTTTTGACAGTGATATCCGCCTGTCAACCAGCACGGCAGTTTCAGGCCTCAAAACAATCTTTCAGTATCAGGGACCTGCTTGTTTTGCTGCTTTTAATGTTCAGACTGTGTTGAACACGTGCTGTGCTCTCTATGTAACTATGTAATCAACCACCATTAACAAGTCCCACTTCTCCAGCCCGGCCATATTTTGATAGCCACGTTTACTAGTATGGTGGCTGTGTGAAACAGACAGACAGTGTGATGGCGCATGCTTCTCACCCTTTGTTAATATTCTGGCATTAAGTACAACAGAGTTCCTCAAGCATCCCTGTTATAGTTCTTTCCTGTGATGATGTCACTATTTTGTCTGACTCAATACCCGTGATGCCACAAATTAGTGCCGCATGAAATGAACGATTTCAGCCCTATGTTCTATGGTTTTTTTTCGTCTTGGCTTCTACTTTAATTGTTGAATAGGCACAGGAAGAATGTGACATAGAGTGGAATATGTGGTTCCGAGGTTTCGTGAGTAACCTACTGGTGCTGTTGACTCAGGCAGTCTAGAGCATGGCAATGCTATGGAATGTAGGTAGCTCGGGTGTGCTGCTTGGTTGTTGGTCTCTTTGCCGAGGTTGGCAGTTGGATTGCAAACGCTTCATCACCAATCGAGGTGACGTCGTCAGTTCAGGGACGAGTGGGTCCCAACAACCAGGCTGGAGCATCCCTGGCTAAAACTTTGACCCTATTAGTTTGGAGGACTCTGTTTTGGGTCCTCGAAACCATATCATTAAGATCTTGTCCGCATTGGAATAAACTTAATACCATTCCGCCAAAATGGACTATGATGATGCCACTCTCCTTACTGACGTAGTTAGACTCACACTTATAGGTGGTCTCCACATGAGAAGTTCCAGGTCGCCTTAACTGAGATCGAGGCCGCCATCAATGGGAGTTACTCTTCATAATGTAATGTCAGCTGCATAAGCTATACACGCAGGCTTAATGGTTGCAAGCGGGTCATCAATGTAGATTGAAAACATTAGGACGATGAACCGACCGTTTCCAAACGCCACT